TTTCCTTAGTAGTTATACAGTAGACTACATATTAAGTGTTTAGCAAAGTAAAATTTGGCAAATAGTAATTTAAAGCTTGGTATTCTAACACTTTTGCTTTCTTTTTAAAAAATATTTTATTATTTTTATTTTTTTGTATGAGTGTATTGCTTTCATGTGTGTAAGTATACTCATGTCATGAAATGCTTATGGAGGTCAGAAGAGGCAATCATATTTCCCTGGAACTGGAGTTACATACAGTTATTAGTTGTGGATGTTGGGAATCAAACCCAGGTCCTCTGCAAGAGCATCCAGTGCTCTTAACTGCTGAGCCCTCTCTCCAGCCCCATCTTTGCTTTCTTGGTAGTACAATAGAAAGAACAGAAAACTAGGAAAAGACTCAAACTGCATCCATTTTAGAAAATACTATAAAACAAATCCTCCCTAAACACAAGATGAAGCTTATTTAAGCTACTCTGTTCACCAGAAGGATGGATGTGATAGTTAATATTGTCAGTTTGTCAGATCTAGGAGACAAATCACCTAGGAGACAAATCTCTGACCATGTCTATGACAGTGTTTCTAGACTGAATTAATTGAGGTGAGAAAATCTACCCTAAATGTGCATGGCACCATCACTTGGGAAGGGGTCTCAGACAGAATCAAATGGAGAGAGCGAGCTGCATTAGTTTCCATTTCTCTCTGCTTTCTGATTATAGAATCAATTTAAACAGCTGCCTCATGCTCTTGCCACCACGACTTCCTTACAATGATTGTAACCTCAATCAAATAAGCCCAAATAAGCTCTTCTTCCTTAGGTTCCTTCTTAAATGGAATCTTGACACAGTGGGAGAATAGTAACTAACACAGACAATGGATATCAATGAGTGGGGTCATTGATAGGATAAGACGGACCTTGTGGGTTAAGAGCCTTTGAAACCGGTTTGTGGGAAGAATGTGGACACATTTAGAACTTTGGGTTGCAAAAGTCCTGGAATGCTGTAAGCAGAGCTTCATGGGTGATTTTGGTGGGAGTTTGAAAGACCAGAATGCCGAGAGAAATGTGAACAATGGAGGCCCAGCTCACGAGACCAGAGGACAAGGATCTTTTAAAGAATTGGGCTAAAGGCCATTTGAGTTGTAGTCTGGCAAAATAGCTGGCTTTATTCTGCTTGAGAACTTAAGATTGAATTAAAAAGTAATGAACTAATTTATTTGGGAGAGGAAATTTGAAGACAGGTTTCCTGATTCTAAAACAACCATTTAGGGATGTGCAGGAATGACTTAGTATGGACAGATTCTGAACTAATGAATTTTACTTTATCTTGTATCAAGAAGCTACTCTTTATAACAGAAACAAGCTCGTTATCCATGTGCTCGTCTTGTAACCTGGGCACTTGACCTTGATATTTGGGGACCCCATGCAAGATACTAAATGAATATGGGAGTTCTTGATTGGAATATTGAAATGGTGGAAGAGGTGTGGTATTCTCATTGAAAACAGTGAGAATAGTTGGGTAGTCTGCTTGATACTGTGTGTTTGAGGTATTTTAGACCTTGAGATAAAAGTGCAAGATTCTCTGTCTGATAAAATAAGGGTCGATTGTAGCTTCTACTTCCCAAATTGTTGCTGGAGAGATGGTTTGATTAAAAATATGGGTGAAGCCCAATTTGGGAGCACAGTTCCATGACACATTTGAAGAAATGGTTGTCTCAGAGTTTGGGTCTACTCTTTACCTTAAAACTAATTCTAAGAGGCAGACTGATTGTTTGGTATATACAACTAATGTAGCTTAGAAGTGCCACATTGTGGTGCTGCAGGGAAGTGTTCCTCCAGGGTCAGAACTCAGAAGTCTCAACAACTGTGGTCTAAGGGTGCCAGGCTATAACTAGAAGTGGCAGCAGAACTTGGCATCATCATCCATATAGCACTTATTTTATTTTAAAAATATTTATTGTATTTTAAATTACATATAGGTGTGTTGGGGTGTGTGTGCATGTGAGTACTGGTGCCCATGGAAGCCAGAGGCCTCAGATTCCCTGGAGCTCCAGATTCCCTGGAGTCACTGGATGTGGATGCTGCAAACCAAACTTAGGTCCTTTGCAAGAGAAGCATACATTCTTAACCACTGAGCCATATCTCCATCTCCCGGCAATGGTTTTATAAACATGAAAAATGCAAGACTGATGGGCATTATCAAGGCTTGCACCAAGTTTCCTAAAAGCCATTAGGTCAGTCAAGATGTGGAAGAGTTGGAGTCCCCAGAAGAAGGCCTTAAGAGGCCAATGCATAAAGCTATAAAGTGAACCTAAGTTGCAGTGCAGAACATAGAATGTTGGAGATGACACGATCATAAGATATTCATTGAGGAAAACCATAGGCATAGAGTGGATACAGCCCAAGAAAAAGATGCCCCCACTATAGGCAGCAGAGATGAAGAGACAGAGGTTATTCAAGCCCTTGGAGCCAGAAAATCCCATCATGAGCTCCAGATGCCAGACAGGGAGTGGCAGGATTTGGCATTTGTTCTACTGGACCTAGTTCTCTCTTTGGTCCAATCTTTCCTTGCTATATCCCTGTTTGTGTCTGATGGAATGAGAATGTTTACTCAGTGCCATTGTATGTTGGACATATAACTGGTTTATTTTTTAATTAAAAGAACTTTTTTGGACTTTTTGAGACAAGGTCTCCCTGTAGCTCCAGCTGAGGTTGGTTCCTCACTATGTAGTCCAGATTGGCCTCGATCTCACAGAGATCTACTTGCCTCCCCCTCTGGAGTGCTGGGATTAAAAGTGTGCACCACCACACACTCTCTCTGTCTCTCTCTGTCTCTGTCTGTCTCTGTCTCTCTGTCTCTCTGTCTCTGTCTCTCTGTCTCTGTCTCTGTCTCTCTGTCTCTCTCTGTCTCTGTCTCTCTGT